TCTTCAATACGAACGTCAAGGCAGTTCTACTGTATGGAGCTGAAACTTGGAGAACTACAACAACCATCATCAAGGAGGTACAAGTATTTATAAATAGCTGTCTACGCAAGATACTCAACATCCATTGGCCGGATACCATCAGCAATAGCCTTCTGTGGGAGAGAACAAACCAACTTCCAGCTGAAGAAGAAATTAGGAAAAGACGATGGAAATGGATAGGACATACATTACGCAAATCGTCAAACTGCATCATGAGGCAAGCCCTAACTTGGAATCCTGAAGGGAAGCGAAAAAGAGGAAGGCCAAAGAACACATTGCGTCGGATAATAGAAGCAGATATGAAAAGGATGAATTACAACTGGACGGAGCTAGAAAGGATTGCCCAGGACAGGGTTGGATGGAGAATGTTGGTGAGCGGCCTATGCTCCTTGACGAGGAGTAACAGGCGTAAGTAAGTATTTCATGATCAGATAGATTAGTTCAATAAGTTTCCTCTGAAATGTTCTATACATTTTTAATGTTAAACCAAAGGTCATATGTTCGAATCCCGTGAGCAGGATCATTGATATGCGCTACCACTGAGTAGTCTCATACTAAGACGAAACAGTTATCCAGTACTTTCAGGTTGTCCATAGTAATTTAGCTTTAATCAACTCATGAATTCCGTTATTATATGACAACAATTTAAAAAGGAAATATCTGGTCTACCAGTTTTTGTTATATCCCAATGTGAATAATGAATGCTAACTTTTGGGATCCATTTATGGAGCAATACTATACTTATATTCTTATCGTATGATTGTTAATTAACTAAACTATTCGTATTCATGTCCCTATTACTATGAGCTTTATTTTGACCCATAAACTATTATTGTACGATTTACCAATCTTGAATTATGCCCAGTCTATTAATCACTACCTCCCACATTCACAGCTACATTTGGCTAATTCTTGTACAAATGATGTTTCCTATTTTATGGTACGATGTGGTCTGTCTGGTTAGTATATAAATCGTGTACGTTTGAAATAAACGATTCATATCGCCGAGGCTGAGATTGGTGTTTTGTACTTAACTGGTTGAGCTAGCCAAGAACCAGGACCATTAAGGACTCTAGACTGCTCCCATGGGTTTTGTACGTCATTGGTCCGATCGATAATTCACTTCTTTCTAATTGGCAGTATCATCACATTATACATTACCAGGGCACACAGGCTACAAGTTATAACAATTTTAGTATTATTATTACTCGTCAATTAAGACAGAAATGAACTCTTTCTGTAGCTCTTCTAGGGCTACTGCCGGTCTTCTTAAGCCCAGATAAAGTAGAAAGGTTGGACATGTGGTCAGCAACCTGATTCCATAGAAAACAACCTTACTAAGAACAAAACACTAAACAGTAAGATAGAAATGAAACAAGACTAATACAAATCTATGGAATATAATCACAGTTAAAATTGTTCATTTTATACACCTGTGTTTATTTGGCACCATATTGATGGATAATTCTAATATGAATAAAAGAAAGAAACGAATGATAAGTAAATTACAAATTATTGTCTTGAAACAAGTGTAAATTTATTCCGACAACATGTGTCTTTTTTGAATGACCATCTGTATAATAATGTAACCATGTTATGTCGGTTACTATGCGAAAACCTATAGAACTTAGTCTAGTTTCTGGATAGGATAATCTCTATTCATTCTATTTGAATCATGATGTTCTAACCTTGTTTCTATATGAGTATATTTGTGTGTATACACTTCTTATCCTATTCATCAGATATCATCTGGAACTGATTTTTATGTGACTATATTGATTGATTAACGGTTGATTAAAGGGAGTTGATTCATTGATCTTCTCTATTGCAAGTCATTTATAGTTCGCTCCTTTCTTTTCATTTCTTCGACTTTGTTTCAACATCTTGATTATCAGTTCAAATCAATAACGAGTGCATGAAATATACATGGCGAGACTCTAATTTATGGACGAGCTAATAAGAGGCGTTTTAGAGATTTCAAGGTTACGGTGCCAACTTCAGTGCTTAATGCTAACGGACGTTCGGTTCACAGGGTTTTTTATACAGAACGTGATAATTGAGCGGCTATAACAAATAAAACTATAATTTATGAACGAATCAATCAGGTATAAGATAATAGATCTCGGATTTTAACACGGGAGCCTGTCAACCATTCGGCTAAATAAATTTCTGGCATTATAGTTGATGTCAGTTTGTGATGAAAACCCTATATATAATTCCTAACTAAGGCAAATTACGAAAATTATTGCGAACTGGATAATAAAACCACCAGTAACACTGGTTGAAGCCAGATACCACAATATATAAGGATGTTTGGAGAGCGTACAGACTCTTACATAGGATTGGTTGTGTGCATCGTGTCGTAGCATTTTCTGTACTCAACAACCGGAGTGCACATAAACAATATTGAAGCTATGTGTTCGAGGCTGATTTTTTGTGACCTTATCATGGTTCCAGTGACCGACTATTCTGTAGCTGTATGGATGATTTCCTCTACTGCATGAACTACGATTTTAGAACCTCCGAACATCTTTCTTACCTTGAAAAGTTTTTGAACCACTAAATCTATTCCCGTATTTGGTTTATTTTAATTCCACTCTTCACTAAGATGATTGAAGTCGATGCATATATACAAGAACAGTCAAGATGTATATTTCAACAGTAATCATTCAATCATGATCATTTGTCTGATCTAATTGAAGTCAGATCTTAGGCCACACAAAAAAAGTTGATCAATTGTGGTGTTTGAATGAACTATCGATTCCTTTGTACTTTTTGAATACTTGATTTCGAATTCCAAATAAAGTACATTCATTCGTGCTTATCTTGTACTTCTTGATTTAATGGCGTTATTTCTAGGATTCTTTGTTCGTACTATAACTCAAATACTCCTGATTATCATATCAATCTAATGTCTAGTTTTGAAATGGTGGTGAAGATTTTTAGCTCAGCTGGATGATTTTGATGGAGTTTTGTTCTCTGAGCTAGATGGTTTGGTCGTGAAGTTTTCATAGTCCTTCTGAACAACATCATCAGTACAAACTTCAAATAGAAGTGAAGTATTCGAATCTCTCCATCTATGGTTCACAGCTTGTCTTATAAACCTCGTAGTTAATTGGTTCTTCTTGACCTTAAACAAGACAAGCTGTAAACCACATGTTGGGAAATTCGAACATTTCACTTCTATTTGAAGTTTGTACTGATGATGTTGTTCAGAAGAACGATGAAAACTCCACAATCAAAACATCCCAGCTCATACAACAAAACTCCATCAAAATCATCCAACTGAACTACAAACCTTATTCATTATTTTATTACCCATTTAGTGTGATTCATTTAAAATGTAAGTCATCATCAAAAGAAGATCTTCTGTTGTTGATTCTTTTCTTCTTTTAAAAAAAAATAATAATAATCCAAAAGAAATAAAAATGTATTTGTACAATTCATTATAGGGTAAGGTAAATTATTCATAGAAAATGTATCAAATATAAAAGCAATTAAATACATCACTGAGCTTATTGTATTTAAAGGTAGTGATCATTATGAAGGAATCACATAGTAACAAAACATACTTATTTTTTTACTGTTAATAATCAATAATTTCGTGAGGGGGGTTAGGGGGTAAGTAGCCTAGATTGAGGGACATAATCTCGTTGAGGCTATAATTTATGAACGATCTTGCGGCGATACTAAACTAACCTTGAGACTGTTCAACTAATAATCAATATCAAATGAGGGTTATAAACTTGTTTGAGGAATTCGATTTAGAGTTTTCATTACGATCTGATATAAGCCAAATGAATGAATGAATTTCCCGTCAAAATTAGAGATCTGTAATCCTATACGTGAATGGTTCATTCATAAATTATAGTCTTGCCATAATGTGATTTTGTTTTGTACAGTAGTTGAATAGATACAACATTCAACAGAAGATTCATATTCTAACATTCAATAGGTTTCAAGGCATCATTTGTTTATATATTCATAAATGAATAGAATCTTAGATGAAATTAGAATGAAGAGAAATAACTGAAAAGTGTACATCATTAATGATAAACGGTGAAATAACTACACACCCCGCAAAATAACAAAGTAAATCATTACCATTTTAATGTATGAGCGAAGATGATAATGTTTAGTTATTTGTTTAGTCAGACTAGTAGACAGTAGTCTGATTGGTATTCTTGTTATTACTGTGATTGTTGTCGGTTTCCAGTGTGGAAATGTATTTACATTCTAATCAGACTAATCACACCTATTCTTGATCTGAGTTATATTGAAATCTTGTACAATAAACACTGGGAAAGAATCTACACAAAATACTTCGGATCGTTTGACCAGACACTAACAACAACAGTCTACTCTGATAAAGAACATATCAAATTCCAATGGAGAAAGAAATCAGTAAGAAGCGCTGGAAATGGATAGGACACACATTGAAGATAGCATCCAACTACGTCACAAGGCAAGCTCTAAATGCCAAAGGAGGAGAGAAAGACCAAAGAATACATTACACCAAGAAATTGAGACAAACATCAGAAGAATGAACAACAATTCAATAGAACTAGAAAAGAAGATTCAGGATAAAGTGAAGGTAACTTCAACCTCACCATCATAACATATTAACTATTTATTTTGGTTACTATGTTCTGGAAGAGAACAAACCGGCTTCCAGCTGAAGAAGAAATTAGAAAAAAACGATGGAAATGAATAGAACATACATTACGTGAATCGTCAAACTGCATCACGAGGCATGCCCTAACTTGGAATCTTGAAGGGAAAGGGAAAAGAGGAAAGCCAAAGAGCATATTACGTCGGGAAATCGAAGCAGATATGAAAAGGATGAATAATGACTGGAAGGAGCTGGGAACGATTGACCAGGACAGGTTTGTATGGCGAATACTGATGAGCGGCCCATGCTCCTTGACGAGGAGTAACAGGCATAAGTAATTCAGTAAGTACTATGCAAAAGTTGGTTTAAATAATGGCATAATTAATAAGATTACAATGGTTGCTATCATAGCAATAAATAAAAATAACCAAAATAACATACGATCAACAATAACAGCTAATATACGCCATTCATTAATGATATCAATAATGGATTGTTCATGATATTGTTTATAATATAAATTAGATAAATAAATTTCTATAATTTTTTGTTGTTTTTCTGTTTTTTGTAAAATTTTTGATAATTTTGTTAATAAACATTGAAATTCTTTAAAATGATTTATACTACTGTGAGTAGTATGTTGATGTTTGTTAAAAGAATTCAGTAGTGTGACATCATCAGCATCATTATCTATGAGATCATCTGTAGATCTTGTATAATATGTACGATGATCATAGGACATTTCATATTGTTTATATTTAGTAATCATTTGTTGATTTAGATTCTTCTTCTTTATGGAAGTTGATTGTTGATCTTCTTCTTTATCAACTAATCGAACGACATGTACAGTTGGTTTAGGTTCATTGATTGAATGAATTCGATTTAAATTAGTGGAACTCAATCGATTCATCATTATAGATTCATATTGTTCCTGATGATGATGATGATGTTGTTGTTCAATAAAGTTTTCTTTATACTGTTTAGATGATACTTGTTTCTTTGTTTGTCTATTAGAAGTTAATACATCCGATGGTAAATAATGATTAGAAGAAGATAAATATTGATCATTCTGTTGTTGATCATTTTGAAGTTGATCTAAAATCAATTTTGTTTGTTTCGTTAACTTCATTGATTGATCTTGTTTCATTTGATATCGATAGACAATATTTAAACATAATAATTTTGCTATAAAATTAAAAAATATTTTTTTTATATATTTTGGTACAGGTTGACGATTAGATCCAGTATGATGGAGATGTAATACTAATACAGTTAATATAATTGATAATGATGTCATTGTCATGGTTACTGTAAGATAAACACCTGGAAAAAACACAATCATGAATACAATATAAATGAACTACAGTATGATTTATAACTTCAAAATAACCAGCCCCTAAAATGACTTGGTACGGTTGAAAGTGGGGAGAGTCAGCTCTCCAACTCTAAATGCTCTTACATGGCCACATGCATGTAACCACTGACAGGGAAGTCCTACTCTCTGCATTCTCGAGGTATTATTGGTGTTTATGAAACTGAGAGGACGAATAGTGGATGTCTGGCGCTTTAACCCGGTTGGTGGATATGTAGGATCCACCTAAGGGATTTGAAAATCCTGATTCCAAACCAAAGGTGCACATGGGCTCCATTATCTTCAAGGAATAAATGGCATATGAACCAATTATTAGTCACCGGATATCATGGGATGCAACTTCTGACAGTGCTCGACTGCCTTGTGGGTCAGATCTTTAGGTTGAATGCTCCGGTTGCGGACCCATAATGTAACCATCTACTTCTGTTTGGGCACTCGGGCAGTATCTCAGCCCTCACAAAAATTGAATGATTCATGTGGCGCATATCTATTTGGTACCTCTCAGTACCAATGCTTATGTGTTTAAATAAAAATCACATAATAATTGAAACAACCGATTGCGTCATAGAGAATTCAGTGAAGAAAGTTGTCTTTACAATGAAACGGTTTACTTATGCTGCACATTCATATTTATAGTTGTCTGAAAGATAAATGAGTAGGGGGATTTGTGTAGATTGTAATATTTTCACAGTTAAATTCATGAGTCTATTTAAGCTAAGAATGAAGGCATGAAAGTACTGGGCGACTGTTTTGTCCTAGCAGGAGACACCTCAGAGTTGTCCAACACGAGACTAAAACCCAGTACCTTCACGTACGCGAATGCAGTTGCCAAAATAAATGAGTCTAAAGAAGAATAGAAGAGTCTATACCATAAAAAGGTTGGTTATTTCAAATATCAAAAGAATAACTTTATGATACAATTTATTTTATCTTTTTTTTAGATTCATTTATCTTATGGAGTCCTGACTGATTTTGTTCCAAGTTGAATGAAAGTATGATTTGGCTATGAATATAAATCTTCCATTTCACTCCGTATATTACACTATTCGTATGACGGCGATAATAAAAACCCAAATAGGGGTGGCTTTGAAGGGATTTATTTCATGTATTCGTTTACCCTAGCAGAGATTCAGAATAAGAACCGATAAAGTGAAGAGGAAAGAGTGTAACTAACCGAGCCAGAGAAGGCATGTGGGTCAACACCCATTCAACCAAGCATAAATCGATATTCATAGTCAAACAAGAATATGTTGCAGACACATCATGAATACGGTAACTAGTTAACATACATATGATCACATAAAAAACAATCAGGGTTAATAAACGAATTAGTGACAAGGTCAAAATGTGACTCAAAGTAGAATGAATAAATTGTCTTGTCCGGAAGCTAGAATAACCTATATGGGCTTGATTTAGTACCAGCCACTACAATCTATCAATGTAACTATAAATATGAATGTACAGCATTGGTAAAATGATTTTGTCGTCAAGATGATTGGTGAAACTATACGTTATGGACGACCTTTGGGCGACACTAAAATGACCTTGAGAGTGTCAACCTGGTAACTAGATGAGGGTTATAAACCTGTGTGAGGAATTGGAATTATGATTTACAGTTGATTATTAAGGTTAGAAATGAGATTCAAGGTTTTCATCACGAACTGATATCAATTATAATGCCCAAATGGTATTCAGTCTAATGGATGAGTGAATTTCATGCCAAAATCCGAGACCTGTAATCTTATACGTGATTGGTTCATCCACTAATTATAGTCTCGCCGTCACAACTGGTATTTTCGAACGGTTACTAATTATAATTTTATTGTACAATTACTGAATAACTAGATCATTATGTATATGTATTCTGGTGTTCATAAGCTTTCGGTTAATCTATAAGCTACTGTCATATAACCTACTGTTCCTTATTTGTCTCTTCCATTCACATCCATATTTAGCTTGTTCATATATAATTGTGTGTGGCCTCATATGTCTGTAAATAAATCACGTCTGATTAGAATATCAAATGGTGGAGGTTGGTTGCTACTTTTGGACTCAAAGTTGGGTATAGAAACAAGTTTGAAAATAATGGACTGATAAGAGCTTAACTGTCGGCTTAACATCAATGGTTTTGGTCGACGGCGGAACTGACAATGTCAAAGACACTAAGCTATATACTAAATGGTAGACCAAGTTAGAATCAAGATTCTGATTCGTTAGCTGAGATGTTATATTGGTCTACGTGTCAACAAGACATAACAATTTGAGATCCTGAGAAACGATCCACGTTCTCACATAGTTGTATATATCATCAAGATAAAGAGAACAACATTTAACCGTTGTTCCAGAGGATTAAGTATTAACTTCATCCTATTACTAATACAAATTTTAATACTAGAAAGTGTTTAAATTCATTCCTGAAAGATAAAGATTCAGTTTTCAAACTCTAGTGGTTCACATTCAAACCGTACTATTTTACAAGGAGGGGCTTTTGTTCATTGGCAAATTGGTCTTATCCAGAACTAAACAATATGTATTTCGAATCTCCAACTGTAAAGTGAAACATAAGATTCTCTTACGATATGACTGTAAGAATAAACACATAATAACTATATAACGTATCAGATAACATACGTGAAAGCTTTAAATGACATTACTTAAGATTAATCAACAAATGGATGTTCTTGAATGGTCATTTCATTTTGTATCGAACAATTCGATTGATCTTACGAAGCAACTTATATTGGTTGAACTTCTAGGCATTCACTTTTTCATGTTCGTAAGTAGCTCTCAACGTTGCTAAGCAAAGGTGGAGTTAAGAAAGTGTACAGCTCGATATTGGCTCATTCGTTGCAGACTGAATAAAAAGCCGGTTATTATTTATCAGATCAATAATTCTTGACAGAGTCTGTTAAACTCGAATTCCTTCAAATGGCAAAATCAATAATTAGTTCTATATGCAAAAGCAATATGTTCGACCCCTTCTTTTACCTTGACCAACTTCAGGGCTTATTAATAAATAGTAAACATAATTATAGAATGACCTAATTTGACAAGTGTATTGTCAACCTTTCTTTGTTAAATATAATTTTAATTTAATAGCTGAATTCATGAGTCAATTAAAGCTAGACCACCAAGGAAAACCTGAAAGTACTGGATGGGCGTTTCGTCCTAGTATGGGACCCCTCAGCAGTGATCATTCACGATCCCGTTGGTGAGATTTGAACCCTAGACCTCCAGTTTCGCGTTCGAACCCTTAACGAGTTAACATAGTCTTCTACTAAACACTTGATGGAACTCTAACTTGTACTATTATTTCTCTCACTTTATCTGATCAGTATTTGTTCTGAACGATGTATTTTACCTTAAACTGAGCCATTATTGGATTATTAATTTGAATATGTAATAGGAGAACTTGAAGAGATTTTATTGAATTAAATATTCTTCCACCATATGTTGATGTTTTATCAGATATTTCCTAGTCTCATTTGAGTTACTGATAGTTTTATTAAGTAGTATAAATATTTATTCGTCATTTTTAGTTTGACTTCATGATTAAATCAAGGTTCGACATTAACATTCTTGGATGCCATTCACACATAAGACTGAAGGCTCTGGTTTCGAATCCCATGAGCAGGATTGTGGATTCACACTGCTGAGTAGTCCTAGAATAGAACGAAACGGCCGTCCAATACTTTCAAGTTTTCAATGATTGTCTAACATCAATCAGTTCAACAGCTCAATAGAAAAAATAAATTTTTAAAAAAGTTAAAATTGTGATCAACTTCATGATTGATCACTTACCAATTAAAGGTACAAATTCACTTGTAGCTGGCATATTCTCTGCAATCAATAACATAAATACACTGAATGCTAATAATACAGTTATACCAAGTGTAATTTTTTCACCAGAATCAGGAGGTAACCAAAAACTAACTAAACTTAATACAGTTAACCATAAACATGGAAAAATGATATTAAATAAATAATAAAGTGTACGTCGACGCATATAAATTGTAAATCGTAAATCAGGATATGGTTCATTACAGCATGGATAAAATATCTATATAGAAATATAGAAATAGAAATAAGGTAACATTTAATGAGTGATCATAGATCATAATGAAGTATCATTACCAATATACATTGATAATGATTCATGAAATGATAGATTTATATTGATTGAATTCGATTTTAAATCAATTGATTGATATAGAAACTAATTTTATCACCATAGTAACTAACTAAGAATTGTGAAACACAAAGGATTGTGTTATCATTTGTTGTTTGAATGCTTATTGTCTTGGCTCTTTTAATGCTACTTTTTGTATCTCATCGTCGCTGATTGGTTGTATCGGAAACGCTTATCACTAACTAATACTCGGAACAAAGGACCTCTGCAATTCCCATGACACGAAAGTAAGAACACAAAGACTCGTATAAGAGATGATTTATTAACCCCAAACACGACGACGACGATGCCGAGAAAACAAATACTACATTGAGTAATCATTACATTGAATCCAAATGGGAGTAATCTTGAACAAAACTCATAATGAGTAAATCAATCGTAAATTGACTTTTCTTTCTATCATATCACATTGAGTCAGAAAGTCATCCAGATTGGTAATACTTCACTATGATGGATTTACATTTATTTCTATGATGGGATTATAGATTTCCTTATCATGCTCATAACTCGAATAAAACATATAGAATTCAAGTTAATTTTATTCTTTGAATGTTCTGAATGATCACATATTTTATCCGTTCTTAATCTGTCATCTACTTGCTCTCTCTAAGAAGAATCTAATTTACCTACTTACTTACTTAATTATGTTTGTTACTCTCAATGGAGCATAGACCGCCGATCAGCATTCTCCAACACACTGTCATGAGCCTTCCTTTCTAGTTCTAACCAATTTTTGTTCATTCTTATCATATCTGTCTCCATTTCTCAGAGTAATGTGTTCTTTGATCTTCCTCTTCTCATTTGACCTTGAGGATTCCATGTGATGAGGAATTGCCCTGTGACTCAGTTGGGTACTTTCCTCAGTATGTGTCCTATCCAGTTCCAGCGCTTCTTCTTGATTTCTTCCTTCACTGTGATATGGTTTGTTCTCTCCCACAGTAGGTTGTTACTGATAGTATTTTGCATAGACAACTGTTGAGAAACACTTGTATCTTCTGGATGATGACTTCCGTAGTTCTCTAAGTTTCGGCTCCATACAGTAGACGTGTGTTGACATTTTGTGTTGAAAATTCCGACTTTGATATGGTGGAGAAGATTTGTAGCTCAGGTGGATGATTTTGATGGAGTTTTGTTCTCTGAGCTGGATGGTTTGGTCGTGGAGCTTTCATCGTTCTTCTGAACGACATCATCAGCGCAAACTTCAGATAGAAGTGAAGTGTTCGATTTTCACCTTAGGTGTTTCACAGCTTGTTCTGTGCACCTCGATGTTGATTGGTTCTTGTTGACCATAAATTTATCATTGTTCACTTCTTTGTTTTGGTTGTGTCTCCCACTGTTTTGATTTTTGTTCTTATATATATGCAGTAGATTCAGCCAAACACTCCATCAAATCCCCAACACAATTCTTGGACCAAATTAAGGACATTCAAATCAACAACGACGAACTCATGATATCCTTCGACGTAACAGCACTGTTCACCTCAATTGAACCACAGTTAGCAAAAGAAACTATATCCCTGCTACTCAACAACGACACAAATCTCACCAAATACACGACGCTTCAAATTCAAAGTCTACTGGAGCTCATCGATTTATGCCTAACAACATATTTTCAATTCAACAACAAAATCTACAAACAAACAAAAGGGACACCAATGGGATCGCCAATATCAGGACTGATCGCAGAAGCAGTGATGCAAAGACTAGAAGCCACGATATTACCAGTGATCAAGCCAAAAATTTGGATTCGCTACGTAGACGACACCTTCGTCATCGTCAAAAAGGATGAACTGGAAAACACATACAAATTGATCAACAACGTCTTCAATGACATCAAGTTCACAATGGAACAGGAGTCAAACAACCAACTAGCATTTTTGGATATATTGATCACTAGAACTGATACAGGAAAACTGGAAACTCAAGTATATAGGAAACCAACCCATACAGATCAAATCCTCAACTACAACAGCAACAACCCAAGGGCTCACAAAATCAACTGCGTACACACATTGTTCAAGAGGGCGAGGACACACTGCAGCACACTGGCAGCACGAAGAAATGAAGAGAAATACCTAAAGGACATATTTCAAAAGAACGGCTACCCAATCAACTTCATCAAAAAGCACCTACGGCACACAGCATCACAACCCAAGTCAAGCACAAAAATCAGTAAAAGGATCACCCTACCGTACATACAAGGAATATCAGAAACTGCAACGAGACTGCTGAAAACCTTCGGGATAGGTGTGGCACACAAACCAACAAAATCACTACAATCAATCTTATGCAAACCAAAAGATGAAATAACAAAGGAGAACAAATCAAACATTATCTACAAAATAAATTGTACCAACTGCGACAAACACTACATCGGACAAAGCGGACGTCCCCTCCACCTACGCCTACATGAACATCAATTAGCAGTCAAACGCCATGATATCTCTTCACTTATTTCAATACACGTGGATAACTACGGACACTCATTCGATTGGGAAAATGTAGAAATCTTAGACAGAGGAAACTCCAAAAACACCAGAGAATTTCTAGAAGCCTGGCACTCAGGTCAATCAGCAATCAACAAACATATTGAAATCAATCCAATTTATCAACCAATCAGGAGAACCATGCATATATATAAGAACAAAAATCAAAACAATGGGAGACCCAACCAAAACAAAGAAGTGAACAATGATAAATTTAAGGTCAACAAGAACCAATCAACATCGAGGTGCACAGAACAAGCTGTGAAACACCTAAGGTGAAAATCGAACACTTCACTTCTATCTGAAGTTTGCGCTGATGATGTCGTTCAGAAGAACGATGAAAGCTCCACGACCAAACCATCCAGCTCAGAGAACAAAACTCCATCAATATCCGACTTTGATGTTGGTTGACATACAGTTGTTTTGAGTTGTAGATGGTCTTCAATTGTAGATATGCTGCTCTTGATTTGCCGATCCGCGCCTTAAACATCTAATTTACAAATGCTTTATTCTATGCAAAAACATACTCAATATAGAATTTTTTAAACAATCCTTTGTATTGTTTAAAGATCCTCCTCATACTATAAGACTTATCTATGAGGGAAGGATATTCTGTTCGATAAATTCTCCTCAGTTTCTATAATTGTATATCCGAATTAATAATCCGAAATATGGTCAGGTTAAAGGCAAAGTACATCGTTTAAAGCGTATGAATTCAGGATTTTCAAACAAAGCAAAGGTTTGATGAAGAAAGTTAATAGCTCGATATTAGACCATTTAGCGCAAACTAGTCATTGTGCCAGTATAAACCAATCCATTTCAATTATTTATCGGGTCCGTAATTTTTTGCCAAACCTCGTCAGAATTAAAGTCTTTCAAACGGCCGATGTAGGTAGTAGCCATCTGCATGAAGAAACCTGAGCTATGCGTACAGAAGAAATATCTTCAACCACTTCTCCCCTGGCTAACCTTAAGGCCAATTAATCAATAGTAGTGGAGATTCTAGTAATTTAATGGTTGAGTTCATGAGTCCGTTGAAGCTAGACCATTATGAAAAACCCGAAACCATTGGACGGTCGTTCCATCCTATTATGGAACTCCTCAATGGTAGTGCGAATCCACGAACGCGCTCCGCGAGATTCGAACCTTGAACTTATCAGTCATGAGCGCGAACACTTAACCTTTAGACAACTGAGCTGGCATATATAGTGGTCTGGCTTCAATTGACTCATGAATTTATTTGTTAAATTACTATAATCTTCACAAAACCCATCTCTGAATATAAAATACTGTTTAATGGCTAGTGATCTGAACCAAGTTAGATAGTATGATTGATTGTCATCGAACTAGACATATCGTCAATCCTCTTACATTATGATCGACTTAATCTACATTAGTGAATAATGGAATTAAATAAGTCAAATATGAGGATGAATTTCGTATATGTATATTTTATACAATCGTTGATCCAGACTCACTGACTCACTCACTCGCTTACTCTTTGGCATTCCTATATCATTCTTGTTTCCTGTATCTGGGATTTCCGTGATCTGTTTGTGATGAGATGATAAACGTAATCAACCCTTCGTATTCATCTTCTGACTTAGACATTTATTTATTTGTTCATTTATTTAAACACATAAACATTGGGACAAAGGGGCACCGAATGGTAATGCGCCATATAAATCATTCGATTTACGTGAGGGCTGGGATACTCTCCGGGTGAGCAAACCGAAGCAGGAGCTCTTCTTATGGGACCACACCCACACTTCAATCCAACCACAATATTAAATTAGACAGTTATGATCACAAGGAAAATGAAAACCCTATTTTTATTAAATCAGCTCACTGACTTACATATGAAAGCTTGATGGTACTTTATTAACACCAATGATATTTTTGAGAGGGAGGAGTATAGCTTTTAAACTTGAAGTGGTTAAAACGTTGAAAATAAAGGATCAACATAAATATGTATTAGATTCTTTCTTGAATCTTCTTAAAACTAGATCAGTCAACCAGTAGTATCGGTTACTATGTGAAGTCCATATACCTTATTCTAGCTTCTGATCAGGCAAATTTATTCGTTCTTCTTGAATCACGTTTTAACCTTGTTAATTATTTCCTTATCAACCTCGACTGCCTTTATATGAGCGTATATGTATGCACTTCTTATCCTACTCATCACATATCTGTAACGTATTTCTGTGTGACTGTAAATATTGATTAACGTTTGATTAGCTCATCCGCCTTCTCTACAGCGGATCATTTCGATTCGTCCTTCTGATTACCTATCCTGATCAGTGGATGTACAAAATATACGAGGATAGACGACATATATATTTCAATAGCAATCACTCATACGATCCAAATGGAGTCAGATCTCGTGTCATTAATAACCTATGCATTGACAAACATCAACGTAGAACCTGAATAACTAAATTTGATATATGGTCATACTATATTTCAGTGTTATAAAATATACATATATTCATCAAGATAGTATCATAGAACTCTATACCTCATGTCTTTCTACGACAACTTTAAGTAGATCCCATTCACCATTTTCAACATAATTCGATATATCTACTTCATCATGTCTAAAATAGAATATAAACAAAAAAGGAACAAGTAACAAATCTAATCTCTATTGAAAGAATGGAATCTCAATAAAGAATAACTCTTTTTATTCAGATGTATAATAGTTGGGGAAGTTAGATACCCCAGAAACTCATATTTTGTAATTTTATCTTTGTGGAGCTTGTATCCAGATGTATCCTTGAGCATTTCTGACCACCCACCCACATAGTCGATTGACGAACTTATCGATTAAATATTTAGAAAAACTTTCATGTCAATATTTTGTGTAAATACGCTTGATTTGTGTGCTTGATGAACCTGGTATCGTCTGATTGTCTGTAGAATACACTTTCGACATCTTACCAAGACTTCTGGATTGAATTAGCCTATCGAGTCTCTAGTTGCTTGATTCTTCGTTCCGTTCCAAGTAAGACGAATCAGTAGTATCATTCAAGTTAACGAACATAACAATTTGGCGACGGGAATGGGATTCGAACCTACGCGGGAAAACCCCAATGGATTAGCGGTAGACATGTAATGATTAGGTTAATATGTCATAGATACTAAATACTCACTAATGTTTATTCCAGTTCTTATTGAATGATAATGATAATACGATAGTAATCTGTTTGTGATAATAATATGGAAAGATAATTGCCGAAATGAATCAAGATATGATTGTGTCTTACTTGAACACTGCTTGCTTACTTACATACCGACGCCAGTTACCACTCACCGATGAGCATAAGTCCCCTACCAGCATTCTTTATCCAACACTGTCGTGGGCAATCCCTTCCAGTTGTTATTCATCCTTTTCATGTTTTCTTTTAATTCTTGACGTAGTGTGTTCTTTGGTTATCCTCTCTTACGTTTCCCTTCAGGATTACAAGTGAGTACTTGCTTCATGATGCAGTGTGATGATTTCCACAATGTTTGTCCTATCCACTTTTATCGTCTCCTAATTTCCTCTTCATCGGGAAACTGGTTTGTTCTATTACACTGTAGACTGTTGCTGATAATATGCGGTTAACCGAAATTGAGTATCTTGTGTAGACAACTGGTGATAGTTGTAATAGTTCTCCAAGTTTCAGCTCCGTACATTAGAACTGTCTTCACGTTCGTATTGAAGATTTTGACTTTGATACTGGTTGACAATTATTTTGAGTTCCATATGTTCTTCAAATGTGGGAAATTAGCCCATGATTTGCCAATCGTTCCCTTTATGTCTGCATCACATTCTCCTTGTTCATCGATTATGCTGACCGGGTACGTAAAATCCAACAACCACTTCAGCTGTTCACCATCAGTTTAATTTATTTTGAAGATTTTGTCAATTGACTACAATGTCAGTTTTAGGAATTATTCACCATACTGTTGAGCTTAAATTGTCGTCAATCAATATAGGTGAGGTTCGAAATCGCACAGCATTGACGATCGTACTAAATTTGACCGTAGATATTCGCAAATAAATTTTCAAGCAGGAACTTATTCACAATTTGTATCTTCTCTATCCCGTCATATTCTTGATGGCAAAACTCTGGAAGATGTAGAGTCCTTCACATACCTCGGAAGTGTCGTCGATGGACAAGGAGCTTCAGATGCAGACGTAAAGGCGAGGATCGGCAAAGCAAGGGTCGCATTCCTACAGTTGAAGAATATATGGAACTCAAAACAACTTTCAACCAATATCGAAGTGAGAATCTTCAATACGAACGTCAAGGCAGTTCTACTGTATGGAGCTGAAAGTTGGAGAACTACAACAACCACAATCAAGAAAGTGCAAGTATTTATAAATAGTTGTCTACGCAAGATACTCAACATCCATTGGCCGGATACCATCAACAATAGCCTTCAGTGGGAGAGAACAAACCAGTTTCGAGCTAAAGAGGAAATTAGGAAAAGACGATGGAAATGGATAGGTCATGCATTACGCAAATCATCAAACTGCATCACGAGGCAAGCCCTGACTTGGAATCCTGATTGGAAGCGGAAAAGTGGTAGGCCAAAGAACACATTACGTCGGATAATAGAAGCAGATATGAAAAGGATGAATAGGAACTGGAAGGAGCTGGAAAGGATTGCCCAGGACATGGTTGGATGGAGAATGCTAGTGAGCGGCCTATGTTCCTTCACGAGGAGTAACAGGAGTAAGTAAGTAAGTAAGTAAGTTTCCTTTCATATAGAATATAAACTCATATATAGTTATATCATTGAAAATGTGATTCCATATTGATGTCATTTGGTAATCTGAATGCCAGAAGTTTAATGTAAGACTATAGTAAGACTATAATTAATGAACGAACCAATCAGATTTACGATAACAGATCTTGGATTTTGGCGCGGAATTCACTCACTGATTTGGACAAATAGTGTTTTGGCATTTTAGCTGATGTTAGTTCGTGATGAAAACCATAAATCTAAATCCTAACTCTTACCATCAATTGTAAATCATAATCCTGTAATGACCTAATTTTTTCAAGAGAACGCAGTTGGTGTAATGGAAACAATTATTATTATAACCAATTGTACTACGGGTTGTTTTACCGTACTTGTTTGTTTAACTGTACCAAAACACATACTTTCTTCCTTTGACTGTGACCTTGCAAGAATTCGGTTATGCTCGGTAACCACACTTGTAACTTGGCACGATCTCAGTATTCTTTCTATACCACGAGATTGCCAACATCTTTCATCTTACTATAACCTTCAATTGCCTCCCGATATTTGATCCACGAAGGGATCTAACCTAGTAACTGGCAGGTAGTCTTCCTGTAGTGGTGATCACAGTCAACAGCGACTCGACGCCACACTACAAATCCTAATTAAAATTGAATCTATACTGGTAGCTAGGATTTCATAAAGTAAGTTTCTACATTAGTTTATATTTTTACTGTTCAGTTTTATAAAGTTAATCAAACAACTTTAAAGTTACTTCATTAAAGCCAGACACTTTACCGAAAAAGAAAATCGATGTGTAAATTTCACATTCAAAGTTCAGTTTTCAAAGTAAAAGTTAAATTGAAAGTGAAGTCGAATATATACTGCTCAATGTACTGTGGTCAAGAGGTTAAGTGTTGTCGCGCGAGACTGATAGGCCCTGTATTCAAATCTAGCGGGGCGGGACAGTGAATGTGCAGTGCTGAGGAGTCACGCACTAGGACGAAACAGCCGTCCAGTGATTCTAGGTTTTCCACGGTGTTCGAGCTTCAACTATAAAATCCTGAAACCCTGTGACCCACTAAAATTTACTGTTTAAGGTCATAAGTTTTACAAAGCACTAAACGGCTATCTTGATCTAGTTCCTTTCCATTAACCCATAACCTAGTCTTAATTTACAATAGAGATTAATCTGACAAGCAGAGATGAATTCTGGCTAGCGTGGACTCTAGAATATGCTTTTCATCCTATCTGAAACTCATCAGTTAGATGGTATTCATCCTAAGACTCAAACCCAGAACCGTTCGCTTCAAACACCATCGTATTAATTAGTTAGCTACTGAGTTCAAATAGCTACTGACTTATCCTACGTGGTGGACGCCTAATTTATTTTTATTGGTCAGTCTCATTTGGCTAGTAAGGATTGCCTTGATATTGCTGATAATTAAACTTAACTCCATTGAGCAAACTAGTGACTATCTGGACTTAGTAGCTAAGTGGATAATATGATAGAGCTTGAAACTAAAGTATTGGGTTTGATTCCTGAAATAAATGTTATCGATGTAATATATACAATTTAAGAGTCCCAAATAGGACAAAACGCGCCACTTGAATTCCACCTCTAACCATCTTCCATCTCTGCATATAGTAAATTTTCGTGACTTAATGGTAATATCAAGGCGATCCACACAGAATGAATATATGCCAATGAAAAAATGATCGGTTACAATTTCATTCATTATTAGGAAGTTCCAAATAACCAAAACAATGAACTAAGCTTAACCCTAGACTTGAAACACCTTGTACAATACATTATGACTATTAAGTCATTAAACAGATCAAGTTTTAAAACAACAAATTTACAATCAGATAGGGTTTTTTTGGAGATTTCAGTAATTTCAATAGTTGTATTTACGAGTCATTTGAAGCTAGACCACCATGTAAAACCTGAAAGCACTGGAAGGCCGTTTCGTTCTATTGTGGAACTTCTCAGCAGTGCGCATCGACGACCCTGACTCGCGAGATTCCAACCCAAGACATATGGTTCTCGCGTGCGAACATTTAACCACTAAACCACTGAGCCGGCATTCGATGGTGTTAATGTCTAAAATCAACCGATTCACGAAATTGAGCGACACATCCACCATTATCTTCAGTGAGTTACTATCTCACAACAGACCCGGTTGAACTCCACTGGTCACTGCTTCTTGAAGCCAGTCACTAGTGAGCATATGTTGATTAATATCAGAAAGGGTTTTTGTGGATTTGATAGTAATTTCAATAGTTGAGAGCATCAGTCAATTGAAGTTAGACCACTATGTAAAGCACTGAACTACCGTTTCGTTACTAACCTTTTAATTACATTCACTTGCCAACCATCATATGTCCATGAACCAAATTTCATAGTACATGATTGATCATCAAATGGAAAATAGGTAATATCAATTTTACAAGTTGATCGTAATTTAGCTGGTGGTGGCCAAAATACATTTCCATTGAATTGTACCATTGCTTTACTTTGCATATAATCTGTTTTGTAATCATCTGCACTAAAATTATGAAAAAGAAAATGGTAAAACGTTTTGCAATATGGTTTGTTTTTTTGAACTATATTAGAACTTATCAGTAAAGGGTTGTGGAGATTATTAAGTTTTTGATTGAGATCATGAATCGATTGATGTTAGACCACTATTGAAAACCTGGAAGCACTGGATGGCCGTTTTGTCCTATTGTGGGACTCCTCAGCAGTGCGCATGATGAAAGCCAAGTTCCTTCGGAAGTCACGAGGCTGATGCCCTTTCGGACAACCAGAGCAACCATTAATTTAGGTAAATGGAATGCTACAGTTTATAAATACTGTCAGGGAGGATATTATAATTTAATTAATGTGTTTTGTATTTTTAACATAAAATGATGGAATGCTAGTAGATAGATGAACTTAGTATAACGATATATAGAAGTGATACGTGTTGGCATAAGATGGTTGTTGGAGGTAGTCAACAAAAAACCTTGACCTCCAACCACCATCTCACCTAGACTAGTGGGCACATTATAACGTGGTCGATAGGATTCGATCTGCACTAAGAAGGACTTGAAACACATGACATTGATCACCACCTAATGATCAATCAATTGTAAAAGTGATACTGATTCACATGACTAGATCCTTAATGTGAACCGTCAAATGAACTTAGATCAAAGATAAGATAAATAGCCTGTAAACTATGCTCGTTTATCATTTTAAATGATATTTCCATACATGAATTATTAGCTAAAATTAGAGGATATTCATTTAGTACGTGATACATTCACTAACAATTTAAGATCTGATTAGGGTTTTTTCTAATTCTTATTTATCACACTAAATGACTCAGCATTGAATATATATCATTATAAGCAGACATGGATGGTAGCTAACAATGATATCCGCCATTAGCGTTTTGTCCTCTTCGTAACTCGTCACTATAATGCACCTGCATTTCACAGTCAACATTCACTCTAGAACTTGAACTTAGTGCCTTTTGCCTCAAATACCATGGGGTTATTGGCGAGACTCTCATTTATGGACGACCTTTGAACGAATCTCCAGTGACCTTCAGAAATATTAGTAAATCGGCAAACAGTCAGTATAGAGTAAAAATATATTATACAAAACCAGGGGAATAAAGTAAATACACTTCTTATACGTGGTTCAAAAACTCGTCAAGGTTAGAAAGAGGTTCAGAGGTTCTAAAATCGTAATGCATGAAGTAGAGGAAATCATCCATACGGCTACAGAATAGTCGGCCTCTGGAGTCATTATAAAGTCTCAAAAACTCTTTCAGCCTCGACCAATATTGTTTATGTGCACTCCGGTTGTTGAGTGAATAAAATGCTACTTTCGGATAACGATATGATGCACATAACCAAGCCTATGTAGGAGTCTATCCGCTCTCCAAACATCCGAATATGTGGTAGAACCTGACTGCAGCCAGTGTTACTGGTGTTTTTATTATCCAGTTCGCAATAATTTACGTAATTTGCCTTAGTTAAGAATTATATATGGGATTTTCATCACGAACTGACATCAGCTATAATGCCAGAAATTTATTTAGCCGAATGGTTGACAGGCTCTCGTGTTAAAATCCGAAATCTATTATCTTATACCTGATTGATTCGTCCACAAATTGTAGTTTTATTTGTTATAGCCGCTCAATTATCACGTTCTGTATGAAAAACCCTGTGAACCGAACGTCCGTTAGCATTAAGCACTGAAGTTGGCGCCGTAACCTTGAAATCTCTAAAACGCCTCTTATTAGCTCGTCCATAAATTAGAGTCTCGCCGAGATGACTTTTCATTTATATACATTGATGATAGTCGTCATCCATATCTGAGGATTGAAAGACAACATTGAGGTAATTCGTACAAAATGTATAAATACCAAGAAGAGACTAATCAGTTGTTCTTCTAAACAACCATGAAAAGTGATTTATATCTAGTTGTGATTCTGATGGATCTAGTTATTCAAGGGATTGTGTTTTTAATTAAAATCGAAATATCATCATCCATGTAGTTTTACAAATTGATCATTGATAAACTTTATTTCATTTATTTAATATTCATTATGTAATCAATTACCTATTATATAATACAATATCTGGTAACCATAATTTTTGACATGGAATTCTTATTCTTGAAAGATTATTATAATCTTGAGGATTCCATGTAAGTCTTTCATCCACCCATTCCTATGAGGAAAGAAAAGAAGCAAACAAACAAACAAAGAATATATATATATATATATATATATATATAAATTTACTTGCTCATGTGGGCATGTTACATAGGCCGCACAAAGCGATCATTATCCAAACGCATCTCGGAACATTATCCGGCTTGACTTTTGAAAGGGGAGCGAAAAACAATCACGAGTTCTATACAGGAGCACTTAATCAACTGTGGACATATCGCTCCAAAAGACTCTTCGTTTAAAATAGTTTACAGAGTCAAAGGAACTGGATCGAAGGGGGTTCGAATCAATATTTTATGCACCGCAGAGGCATTGGCAATCCACAAACAAAAGCCTGAACTTTGCGTGCAGAAACGATTTGTCCAACCTCTCATCCTTCCCTGGCCCTAATTCCCTTAATGGGTATGTTTCTAGGTGTTTTTTACTTTTCTGCACTGGGTTCGAATCCCGCGGAAGGCGAGTTCGTGGATGCGCACTGCTGAGGAGTCTCATACGAGGACGAAACGGCCGTCCAGTGCTTCAAGGTTTTCCATGGTGGTCTAGCTTTGATTGACTCATGATTTCAACCTGTGACAATCCTTTCTATCCTTCTATAAACATACATTTTCCATATAACTATATATACGAATGTACAGCTTAAGTAAATGATTTCGTCGAAAAGAAAATTTTCTTCGCTGAATTCTCTTTTTCTTATTGAATATATATATATATATATATATATATAATTGTACCTGAATTGTGTGGTAATGATGTCGTTCAGAAAAACAATGAAAGCTCTACGACCAAACTATCCAGTTCAGAGAACAAAACTCAGTCAAAATAAGTTGTTTATTGAATATAATCTTTCATTAATACTAATCAATATGTACCTGATTAATGTAAAGTAGATCCTTGAGTTCAGAATAGCGTTTTTGAGAGAGAAAAAACAAGCTACTGTGGGGGAGAATAAATCAAACTCTAGCAGAGAAAGAAATCACTGTTAAGTGGACTGAGACATGTTGGTAGGTGTAGACTACCTGGTTGGGGACCACGAGATGATAGAAACCGGTGGTTAGAGACCTTGAGTGACATGGCTCAAAATCGTTTGCTATAGCGCAAGTGAATCCAGTCTTTGTGTTCTTCCAAATCTCAATCTTCTGAGTTCATGTCCCTTTTTCCTCTTTCCAAATTTATTTCACTGGATTATACTCCTTGAATAGCATCTTCAAATCTTAATCTTTCCGATTACTGTTTATAATCTTACTACCTCTACCACTACAGGATTTGAATGGACAACTGCATCTCTGTGTTAATATGGTGTGGCAACTCGAACCGATGTACGTACGTACGAAGTTCCACGTTGTTACTGACTGACTGAGATAGGATACGCAATGAGGAAAGCATCCAACTGAGTCACAAAGCAAGCTCTCATCACTTGGAATCCTCAAGATCAAAGGAGAAGAGGAAGACTAAAGAATATACTACGCCAATAAATGAAGACAGATATGAGTAGAACGAACAAGAATTGGACAGGACTAGAAAGAAAGACCCAGGACAGAGTGTGCTGGAGAATATTGGTTGGTGACCTATGTTCCATTGGGGTATCAGTAAGTAAGTAAGTAAGATCTTTGAAATTAACGTATGATACTAGACTTATCTCGTGTTGTTTTAAAACATGGCAAGTAACTTAATATGTTATATGATGTACATGTTTAACTTTTCATGCGGGATGGAATAGGGACCATGTTGTGTCTTTATGGCACTCTAGTTATCACGTAATCTACTCGCCAATCAAAATACGACTTATTCGCTCTTATACTGCACTAAACCAATGACGCCCGACCGGTCTGATCAGCCCAGCGTCCTTATTGATCCTTTGCTTGCCTAACCCGTCCAGCTGAGCCCAGAATGCCAACAACAGCCTCCACTATGCGAATCATTTATTTCAGACATACTGGGTTTATATATCAAACAAACGGACTGCAACGCACCATAAAATAGGAAATAACATTCATACGCAATAAAGTCAAAAAGTGGCTGCGAACGTGGGAGACAGTAATTAATAAACTGAGTATAACTTAGGAACAGTAAATCGCACAATAATAATCTATAGATCAAAACAAAGCTTATAATAAGGAGAATATAGATATACACAATCTAATTACTGAATAGTTATACCATAAGAATATATAGATAATATTAGTCCATTAATAAGTCTCCGAAGATACTCGTAATTTAATCTTCACTAGGATATAACAGACCAAGTTCTTATTAGCAGTCTTTTAAGAATCCTTAAATAATTGTTTCCTTGATTAGTTACACTTACCAACACAATCATTTTGAAATCATATCGGAACTGTCTAATGGTCAAAGGGTTGTTACTCAAGTCACTTTACATCATAATTACATTTGTTTCTTAGAAGCTTATGTGTATAGGTTGTCATTAAAAGTAAAAGTTAATTGATCAACAAACTCAATGTATTAATCAAATGAAATTATTTCAACAATTTACTATTTACAAGATAATACAGAAGATTTGTAGCTGAAAACTTGAACAGAGATTTTGAAATACACCTATTTTCTGCGACAGCGTTTATTGACTATCGTGATATTCTAATTTTAATATTCCTCTTAAAATTGACTGGATAATATAAAAATTATTCATTCTGTGGTGTGTGCTACTGATATCGGTAAATATAAGTAGTATATCTCATCAATCGAAAGTGAAATACCTGGCGGCAGAAGGTTAAGAAGATTGAAGAAAAGAGGACGAGAACAAAGAATGATTGCTGTGAAAATGAAAGAACAATGGAGGCTGAGACAATTGACTGATTTTGCATATGCAGTATTTATTGTATGGTTCTCAGATTTTACTAAGTTGTTCTGCAATGTTGTTTTCGAATATATTCGGTTGTCCCCACTGGTGTTCTCGTTCACTACAGTTCCTAGGAGTGGCGTTTAAAGTTGTTTTTTTGTAGAAATCCTGAAGATCAATTTGTTCTAGGACTTATCAAGTAACAACTTACTCATTAGTGTTATAACTATGTATGAGTAAAATGTTCTCATTAAAATTTTGATTGTTAATTGATTTCACTGTCGAAACAATATTAAGCTATGCAGTATAAATTTGTAAGGATCTATATTTTACCGTCGTTTATATCGCCTCCAAATGCCCTGGTACGGCCGAGGTTGGGGAAAGCCAGCTCTCTCTCTCGAACTACTCCCACATCCACTGACAGGGACGTCCTACTCACTGCTTTCTCGTAGCATTACTGTTGTTTGCAAAATTGAAAGGAAGAAAAGCGAATGTCCGGGACTCTGACCGGGTTGGTGGACACGGAGAGTCAACCTAGGAGAGTTGGAAACCCAGATTTCAAACCACTGGTGCACAGGTCTTCAGGAACCTGAAGAAACAAGTGGCGAATGAAGCAGTTATTGGTCACCGGCTACCATGGAACTGCATCTACTGACGTTGCTCCATTGCCTTGTGGATCATTTCCGTAGGTCGAATGTTCGGGGTATGGCCCCATAAGCAAACCACGTGCTCCAGTTCAGACAAATGGGGAGTATCATAACCCATACACAAATCAAGTAACTTGCGTGGCGCATATGTTGGGATTAGATGGTGATTGGAGGTAGTCAAAAAGAAACCCTGGACCCGGGTTTCGTGCTATTTGTCACTCGTCAGCAAGATGTACCTGTAATCTTGAGGGAACTGGTGCTTCCTAACAGTTCGGGCAACCGGATATCTTGACACATCGGATGACAGATTTACATACATCTGATTAACTAGTCCGATATAGGAAAAAGCTGAATTCCTGGATACCTGGATTCTTTGACTGACTACCATTAAATCTGCTTAATTTCATTTTTTACAATTAGAAAAAAAGAAAAGAAAACTAAAATATAACAGGAATTTACTGTTTACCTGTTCAATCCATACGTTTAATGTAAGTACTTGGTTTACTTCATCCTATAAAAAACAAAGAAACAAAAAGTAAACTTGATCCATAGTTACAATTGTGATTAAAGATTTTTTTTATACTTGAATTAATCACTAACATTGATAATAGAGAGAGACATGTAGCGGTAAATAAATCCTGGAAATCAATACCTCTGTAAGTCTTCGAAATTTGATGCTGACTATATTAGTTTTAATGGATTCACCTAGCTGAAGGCGCTCCGTCATGCGTCCATATCAGAACACGAATGGGTACACTGAGCTTAACTTCTCCTACAACTAATAATTAGTTTAGATCGTTCACTTCATAATATATCGATAGCCTATCAGATATATCTTTGAACTTCTTTGCTTTTGACTTCTGATTTCACTGGGTTGAAACGTTTTAATTATACAAGGGATTACTGGTTAAGGTGTTGTCAAACTTCAAATACTTCTGGCATCTTCAGACATTTCAGTGAAAATTATCAATCAATAGAATAAGCAGTATCAGTAGTTATTTAACACTCTACCCAATAAATTGGTTTTAACTTAAATATTTAATAGTTGAATTCATAAGTCGATTAAAGCTAGACCATCATGAAAAGCCTGGAAGAATTGGACGGCCGTTTCGTCCTAGTATGGAACTCAGGAGTAAGCATCTACGATCCCACGAACCCAGGACCTTCGGCTTCGCACTAGAACATTTAACCTCCAGACCACCGAGACGGGCACCAATCGTGTTAATGTCTAACTTTAACCAACCCATGAAATTGTGTCACGATTCACCATTGTTTTCAATGGGCAACTGCTTCACGACAGACACACTTGATCTTCATTGATCACAGCTTCTCACTAAATAATTATACAGAATTCTCACTCACTAATTGAATATGTTGTGCTCACTTTCAAATCAAAATATCTTCAATTATGGTCACTCTGTCATAAGTTTCTTTGATCTTTGCAGACATGTAATTGATATTAAATTCAACATATTTCCTCTAGTGTCAAGTTTATGACTGTCTATACATATAAACCCCATATTCAAATCATTGTATACATCTCTTAATGAATTCTACTGGTATTCAACTTGTAATTTGAAATCAGTGTAGGCATGTAGTGTCAGTTACTATGTTAAGCTCATATACTTTATTCTAACTTTCGGATAGGTCAATTTATTCATTCTTCTTGAGTAACCTTTTAACCATGTTAATTATTCACTTATCAACCCTTACTACTTTTATATGAGCGTATCTATGTGTGTACACTTCTTATCCTATTCATAACATATCTGTAGCTTATTTCTATGTGACTATCAATATTGATTAACGCCTGACTAAATAGAGTTGGCTCACTTGCCTTCTCCACTGCACAAAGCTGTAAATTGATCAGAGTTACATATATAAACCATTATAAGGCTGATGAATTATCTAGAGGATAAACAGTCAAAACTCGAAATCTTGGGTTCGATCCCCTGTGATTAGGTCATAAATACTCACCACTGAAGAGTCCCATAGTTGAGCAAAAACGTTTTACAGTTATTTTTGGTTTCTAATATTTGTCTAACTAAAATCGATTCATGTTATGATTTGTCAAAAAGAAATAATCAGTTTACAATCCTGATCTCATTAAAATTCTTTTATCAATTCAAAATACTACTGATATAGTTGATAGTAAGTACCGAAGTAAAATAGAATAAACATTGGTCACAATTGATTGATCACTGGTTGGTGATCAATGTCATGCTTGTCTAGTCCTTATTAGTGCAGATCGAATGCTATCGATCATGTTGCAATGTGGCCACCAGTCTAGGTGACTCGACACTGCGGGCACTATATATTGAGATTTAGATGGTTGGAGGTAGTGAACAGGAAACCCTGGACCCGAGTTTCGTGCTACTTGGCACTCGTCAGCAAGGTGTACCTGTAATCTTGAGGGAACTGGTGCTCCCTGGCGGATTCGCTCTCGTGTCACCCAGCTTCACAGTCAGAGACGTTACCACTGAGCTATCCGAGCCGTGACTAACCTCCAGTAGGATTGAGATGTAATCACAATTGATTGATCACTGGGTGGTGATCAATATCATGCTTGTCTAGTCCTTAGGTGACTACCCTTTTTCTCATGTTTGTCTTATTTCAACTGGAAACATAATTCAGTGTATTTGTTCATAAGTTTACAGTATTACGACGTTAGTTTTGTAGTATGTGCTACTTCTATCGACATAAGTAGTATATGACCCGAGTTGAGAATATGTCTGACAGTAGAAGATTGAGAAGATCAAGAAGGGGAAGAACGAGAATAGAAATTAATTCGTATAGAAATGCAGGGACAATAAAGTCTGCGACAGTTAATGAACATTTTGCAAATGAAGTATTATAGTATGTTTTTTTTATATTTTACTAAGTAACTATGTAATCTTGTGATAAATAAGATTCACTTGCCCATACCTGTATTCTCCTTCACTTCATTTGTGCCAAATTTTACTCAGGTCTTCAATCGAGTACTAATTGACAAGAAATTGTACTATTCCTTCATGATAAGTACCCAAGTAACTATAACTATTAATCATAAGTAGCAAATTGTAATTTGTATAAGTTTTTCGAAAAAAATAACTAATGTTTCATGCTATACTACGGTTTAATGCTATCTATATAGAGTGATATGCTTATAATGTTACATAATCATCTATGTTTAAGACGTGGTAATATCATTTTCGTAGTTGAATTCACGAGTCGATCTAAATTAGAACATCATTGAAGGAACTTTTCGTCCTAGTATGAGACTTACGCACATGGGACTCGAGCATAGGACCTTCAGATTCGGGCTCAAACGTTTAATCTTTATACCAGTGGGCTGGTATCCAGATGTGTTAATGTCTAACTTTAGTTATTATTGTTATTATTAATATTGGCTTTATTCAATATTATATTTTTGGTGCAATATAAAATTCTCAGTACAATGTATTACAACAAGATTTTTTCTTATTTCTTGATCAATGTTGAGTGGTCGCCAGTCAGATGTTAGTAGTTCAGGAATCGACATCCGAATAATTCATCTTCTTTTCGATGCATATTACCAGCAACCACGAACTCTTTGATTAGGCTCTTTTGTAACTTGTACAGCGAAATGCAGTAAACATTTCACAAACTCAACTGAATAAGTTATGAGACTAATAGGCATAATGATATGTTAAAACAAACAAGAAAACAGATAACTTGTTGAAATATCTAGATAGCAGGAACAGGTAGCTCAGATATTCAAGCAGACCGACTTGGATCAATGCATGATTTTGAGTAACACTTCATCCATCGTCTTAGGTGGATAACTATCTCACACTCGACACAGATTAAGTCAGTTAGTAACAACGTAGAACTTCGTACGTACGTACATCAGTTTAAGTTGCCATACCACATTAGCACAGAGATGCAGTTGTCAATTGGGCAGAATGGACTACACTATTCATGATTTCTCATCAGAACTTTAATACTTCCAGGTTTTCAATAGCAATCTAGCTTCGATTGACTTGTGAATTCAACTTTGAAAATACCACAATCACCATAAATCCCCTGAATTTCTAGTATGAAACTATTTCAACCAATCAGAGTAAAGTAATAGAATGTAAACAAATGAAATCAACCAATCAGAAAATAGGAAATACTTTTTCCATCATAACGATGAAAATATATCACTAAGATTCTTTTATTTATTTATTTTAACACATAGATATTTGTACAAAGAGGCACCAAATACATATGCGCCACACAAATCTCATTTGATATGTGTGAAGGTTGTGATACTGCCCGGATGCCCAAACCGAAACGCGTGGTTTTCTTAAGGGACCACACCCGGAACCTTCGACCTGAATGTCTGATCCATAAGATAGTGGAGCAATGTTAGGAGATGCAGTCCTACGGTATCCGGTGACCAACGATTGGTTCCTCAGCCATTTGTTCCTTTAGGATACTGGAGCCCATATGCACCATTGGTTTGAAATCAGGGTTTTCAAACTCTCCTAGGTGGACTCTCCATGTCCACCAACCCGGTTAAAGCGCCGGATGTTCGCTTTTTGTTGCTAATTTACTAAGAAGATTTAATCACCAAACATATCTGAATGTATTCAAATAATTATTGTGAGTTTATCTATAGTATTCATCATATACAGTAAAATGATGTATAGGGACAGTTACTATGTTAAATCCATAGAATTTATCCTAGCTTCTGGAAAGGCCAATTTATTCATTGTTCTTCAGTCACGTTTTGATCTTATCAATTATTTGCTTATCAACTTTGACTGTTCCTATATGAGCATATATATGTGTACACTTCTTATCCAATTTATTACATATCATCTGTAACTTATTTTTCTGTGACTATAAATATTGATTAGTGTTCGATTAACTCAAGTTGGTTCACACACGTTCTCCACTGCACATCATTTCGCCTCATTTTCTTCGCTTTGTTTCCTTCGCTTCGTCCCTTTGAGTGCCTGTTCAGATTAATGAGTGGACAAAAGATATGTATTCGATAATCCATTCTTGTATTCAACTTATTTAATTCCGTTATTCACTAATGCAATTGAAGTCGATGATTATATTCGAAGAGTTAAGACATGCTGTAAACTTCAATAACAAGTAGAAATGATACAAGAGAATTTCAAATATCTTAAATCTGTCCTTAATTAAAAATGAATAAACGAAATATAGAATATCAAGATTATTTAAGTTTATGATCCCAATCCCAAACACCTCCAGGTTGTATTTCCTCATTTCTGCAGCGATTTGGAAGACTCTCCAGGTCTCCCACAGTCCATGTACCTAAATTAATGGTTGCTCTGGTTGTCAAAAGGGACATCGGCCTCGTGACTTCCGAAGGAATTCGGCTTTCATCATGAGGCGTCATAACTCTTCTAAATGAAGACCTTCTAGCTCCCAGGGCATAGTTTAAAAGGTTTGAATAATTTTTTTCTGGTTAGCGTTTTTTTGGCGAGTTAGTTTTCTACGGGATGGGGTCGCTAACCCCATGCCCAACCCTCC